AAACGGGTGAAGGTGTCGTTGGTGCCACGGAAAAGGGTGCTGTTGGTGAAGTTACCCTGGACGCTGTCGTAGTACTTGGCGGGGATGAGGGGAGACCGCGGCTGGGGGAACTCGAAGCCAATAGACTTGACGATCCACTGGGTGTCGATGTTCTTGAAGTTAGCAACACCGATGATGGTCTGCAGAGAGATACCATCGTAAAGCTTCTCCAGACGGGCGGCGCTCCACTTGGCACCGTCGGGGTGGTTCTTGACAAAGCTCGTAGCAGCGATACCGCTCTCGATCTCGAAACGGTACTCGCGAGTGTTGAAGGGAGAGTTGTCACGCTCTAAGCTCGGTTAGAAAAGGCAGTTCCAATAATGGTAGGAAAACACTTACGGTCCCAAGCAAGATCGTGCAGGAGAGAGCCAACAGCGTGGAGCTCAACGTCGACCTGGGACTTGAGGGTGGCGTTGTTGTTCAACGCAGCAGCACCAAGGAGCCATGTTCGGAGAAGGTGGTTGTAGAGGTAGGGCTGGAGAGGGATGAACGCCTTGACGAGGTTGTGGGCATCCCTGACGAGCTGGGTGTCAACAACCTCGACACCAGCGATCGTGGTGGTGGGGAGATTGCATTTCTTGGGAGCGGCCATTGTGGTGCTGGCCACGGCCAGGGCAGAAATGACTCCAGCAGCGAACTTCATTTTGAACAATTAGAACTACGAGACCGAACAAGGAATTGTTGAGAGAAGCGAATGGATGGAGGGTTTCCTAAATGAATGAATGTGGTGGGAGGGGTGGAGAGCAAAAAGAAGAGAGAATCGTCTTCGTGAGGCGTTGGATAGCTTTATATATTCAACTCGCTTTGCCGCTCAGCTCAGTCTCTCAGTTCACAAGCCTTCTGCCCATCCACGACCGCCCAGCCTTAGGTCATTCTGCGTTACGGTTACGAAAAGGGTATTAGTATACAGGGTTTGTAGTGTGATGTCAACCAAAATAGAACCTTTAGCGCCTCTTGTGGATGAGGCTGACTGTCTATCTCTTGCCTTTACACTGCCCGTAGAATGTGGAGGTACGGAGCAGATTATTAGTGTATCTTGGCGAATGCAAGCTGACTACGGTATGATCGAGAGTCCAGTGCAGCATTGAGCGAATCCTTGCCCCTGGTTTGGAACTGAGACACCCATGCAGATCATGGGTAGTGGAGGGAAATGAGACTAAATACACTAAACCAGTAGTCAGTCTTCTCGCTAGTCCGTCACGTTGGTTCTGGGTATTCATTCTATCTAGTTTCAGTAGCCTAATCCCATACCAAAGTTAGGTGATCAGATAATGTTGCTGTTTGGAACCACAGCTCTACACTACCAGTATACCACAGAAATCGTACCACGATGCGCTACACTCCATCTAGTCGATAAAAACTTATTTACACTATTACAAAAGGTGACCATACGCGTAGATCTTGACTTTAGACACAGTACAATACCTATACCTGTAGTGTGCACTACAATGCCCCAAACCCCAGTCATTACCGGGGTCCCCGAATCGAAGCACCTAATACCCGTTGACTACCGAAAGATGACATAAGATGCCAAGATCACAGGCCAAAATCCGGCTAGTTCAACTTGTAAAATATTTGAAGGATTGTGTTTTGTGATTACCGGAGCTCCTAAATCTTCATTGAGGTTCAGATATGTTGACAGCAAGATAATATAGCAGCTGAAGCTTGGGAAGCAGTATATTTGTCCAGTGTAGTACAGAGACAGTGAATGTTTACTCAATACAAAGTCTATTTAAGTGTTAGCGCAATGAAGGGACAAGATAGTCCGGGCTAGTGCAAGCATCGCATTGGCAGAGCATTGGTATTGCATTGGCACAGCATGGCATTGCATTGGCATAATCTTCTAAGGCTCATAAAAAGACGCCCCCTTTTTGTAGGATTTCTGTGGTGGTTCTGTTGCATAACCATAATTTTAAAACGAACAGGAAGCAAAGGGCGGGGGCGCGGTGCACTAGAGCTTCGAACATAGAAATGCCGGCCGGCTCCCAGTTACCCAGAGAGGTAAGAATAGAGAATTTCTTCTGCATACCTACTACTTACTAGACTACTTGTCTGATTTCTTCCGGAGCATTGGCTGCTTGCCAATCAGACGCTGTTCAAGGAGAGACTGCACTTCTAATATTAGTCACCCTGGGCAGAACAGCCGTTACTTGTGTATATATACACTGAATGGTTAGTAAACATGCAGTGTTGTACCTAGCTTGAACACATTGACCCTCCATGTTCGCCAAAGTCGACCACAATCTTGCCACCTCATGTACCTACCTAATCGCACGGATAGATCCCTTGGACTGATCCATGCCACGGGCGGCGAATAACTAGTACAAGCCGACGCGAGAGAACGATCGTGATTAACGGCGTGTGTGTAGGTAGGTAGCTGTGGGCAGCCAGACTTCAGGACTGTTCGGGAGTTATAGCGTGGTCTTGGCGGTCTTCGCTTCGCCCAAAAGGGAATGATTCCTGTCTCATTGTAGTCATCGTGAGGGTGAATATATCGTGCCAGGAGGGAGCTCCCTCTCTGCTCATTAAACCCTCTGGTCAAGGGTGAATCGGTGAACGTTGCTCGGCTTGCTAGGCAATCCTTTACACGTGTTCGTGAAAGGGCTTGGGGCTCACCGCCAAGAGCCAAGACAATGAGAGCTGACATGGACAGTCAGCGGCCCAGAAACACCCGACTGTCAGTTTGTTCGATGGGTTGATTTTTCGCATCACTTCGAGTGCTGTAATCCCGCCACTCCTGATTTTCTTATCCCTGCATCTTCTTCTATTCGTCCGCCTCTTGCTACTAGAATTTTGACGTCCAGTGTGTCCCAGCAAGCCCACATAACCATTGTGTTGTCGTTTACCAAGTTGCTGCATTGGTATTGTTGTCTCCTATAAGAACTAGACCAACTCTTGTTGGCCAAGAGTGTGAAGGAAATGGGAGCGCCGGTAATGTGACTACTGCTACCCAAGCAGATATTGATTGCTTCACCTCTGTCCTTGATATATTGGCCTTGGTAACCATGCGTTATACGCTTGCGCCTTTGATATTTGTCTATTCTTCGTATGCATCATCACCTAAAACTTCGTCTTGTTCCGTTTCAGTTTAACTCGATTACCTTGCTGAATAAGATAATGGACGGTCATCGCTTTCGATATTGTCGTTCGCCGAGCGTTCTAAGATCTTCGGGGCCGGGTCACGGTCCGTGGCGTTGATGCCCTTTCAGTACCTAGTTTTCGCAACTCGGTCCTCACATCGTTGAACGGAATCTATAGGTAAGAATAACAATAAACTATAGCCTATAGCCCTGGCTTTGTTGTTAAGAAGCATTCGTGAATCTTACGTTTGTCAGGTATTGTTAGTTGCACGAGAGAGGCTGCTGTGATACTGGTCGAATGCCACACTGACTCTCAGGCAGTTGCTATAGCATGCTAGACTTATGGATCTAACATTGAGTGTATCAACTATTGCTGATTAGAGTTGGGGTTAACAGTGAATGGATACTAACATTGATCTTAGATAGACACAACCTTCGAAGCAATGTCCACTCGTTTCCACGCGTTGTCGAGGTTCAATGTTCACCTGTTTGAGCTACGGTGAACATGCTTCAACGTCCAAGGCGCAGAGATATCATTTGACAGCGTGATTATCTTGTTCGGGGCCTAGTGGATGGTTTTGTTGAAAGCGAAGTGGTAGAACTCTATCCCCACCACTCTTGCTGCTTTAGTGCTTCTTGTTCCCTTCGGTATTTGCCATGTCGATATGGAGTGGAGCGCGGTTGATAAGACTGTTGGAAGACGACTTGTCGTTGTTGGCAAGTCTTCGAAATAGCTTCCGATCCAACACCGGTAGCTCTTTGAAAGGGCCGTGGACAATATAAACCTTCGCTCAGTGATTATATTGCCCCGCTTGTTTCCTGTCTTGTCTGTCTTGTTTTGTGGCCATATGGTTTTATGGCGTATGAAAAGCTTCAATGTGTATTCGGCACAGGTTGTGTTGGGAGACTGGACTATGGAAGACAGGGGAATGTATGAAACCGCAGAACAAGGTCAGCTCTGTCGACTGGGGAACTATAGGATATAAAGGAGGAGCTCCTTACTATTTAGCTATGAGGCGTAATACTCCCTATATCAAATCATGGATGTCCATCCAGGTGGCCATCCGGGTGCGTGTAAGGCTGATCTGGGTATGTATTTGATTTTCAGGCGGCAGCTAACCAATGCAGCCGGCCTAAATTAGATTCTTCGTCGAAGCGAACCAAACAACGTGAACATCATCCCTGCTTGTCTACTTGATTCATAGATAAGCCATACGGATAAGACAAACTCGAGTTGAAGCAAGCTGTCAGTTAGTGTATCTGTATTACTGTGGTGCATGGGTAATTCTACCAACAACTTATCATAACTGTGTATGCACTACGCCGTAGGCATTACCTGATTACCACGGCTGAAGGACTCAATGCGGAATCATTTTCAAGAGCTAAAATCCCATAAAATTTATAAATAACCATCTATCAGCACGGTAGGTAGGTACATAAACGGCCCAAGGCATGAAAATTATCATTTCTTAGGCATTTTAAAAGACTAGTTGGTCTCTTCTCTGTTTCTACCTGTATCTAACTTATAGTAAGCAATACTTAGAACAGGAATGGAAGAAAGGTGTAGGGGCAAATAAATAAATAAGGAATTAAACCTTATCCCTCTCCTACGCCGCTGCATGCTTCAAAGAAGTTTATTGAGATGGCTTCAGTATGCAAAATGTATTATGTTGTTTATCGACCAAGTGTTGCTACCTCTACTGGGGTGTGGGGCAAGGCCTGGAACCTGCCATACACTAGGTACCTAGGGGTGGGGGCCAGACCCACTCCCACATCCCACGGCCACACCTAGATAGAGGAGTGTCTATCACTATCTCGACCATTCTTGCCTAAAATAGAGCCCTAAAGCCTCAGAAACAAACCAAAAAGAGCGATCACCGTTGGACTTGCAGGGAATTGAACCCCGGACCCCTCCCAATCATACTATCCTCCAAAGACGTCTCTTTGGACATGCGAAGGGAGTATCATACCACTAGACCACAAGCCCAGTTGGAATGGATTGCTGATGGTAAATTGTCGACAAAACCTGGTCTAAGTCATGTGATTTGATAAATACGTATCCCACTCGCGACACAACAACAGTACTGTACCTAGCTATACGCCAACACTGTGCTCTGTTTTTCTGCCTGTGTTAAGAATACAGTGTACTCCCCTTTCAGCACTGTATTTACCATTCCAAGTAATACTACCTGCTAATAGATTACAGTGGTAGATACACTGTAGCAATCACTTTAGGGACCATCTAGGTAGACCGTACAACTTACGACTCGGTCGACAACACAGATCTCTGTTTCTAAATGTCTGGCCTGATATCTCTCCAGCTGCGAACAATTTGTTAGATGACACGAATACACCATAATCCGATTCTCACACAATTGATTGAAGCAAAGCTATTATCCTGCCAATGCCGCCCCAATGGCTCCTGATAGCGGCGCACGGTTGACAGGTGCTTGGTGAGCTTGCCGCCAATCCCCTTTATCCTGCCTGACAGAGCACAGCACGAACAAAACAATCCCGCTAACTGGCGACAAGGTTCCTAGCCTCGTTTGCTTGGCTATCATATTCCCTGCAACGACACACCTTGATCAGTACCTAACTATTCACCTCCCATTATCTAGACCAGACCTGCTGACTGGGTGCTCAGATCAGCCACGTCTCTCATCCTTCTTACTGCTTCTTGTTTCCGGCTCATCGGCTCTTTTCGTGAGCGTCTTTTCAAAATGGCTTCCAGGCGCCCACGGCAGATTTGGTTTGTTATTCAGTTCTGTTCTTGTGAAGGCGATGGCGGTTGACGTTATTACAGATTCCGACGCTGTCTTAAAGGCATCATCGTCTTCCTTGCCCCCAAGACCACGCCGATTCTATGTACCTTGCATTATCATCCTCGTCATTGTTCGACTTGAGATTTCTTACAGAGGATTGCATGATTTCCAATGCTCCACTGCAGGTATCGAGGTCGGCATCCCCTCACGAAGCCCGCAAATGATGTAGCTAACGCCGTCCCATAGGCATTTCTGCCATTGGTATTAGTAGCTTATAGGTTCTTCTCCTATCGTACGCCACAGGTAGAGTTAGATGAGCCCGAAGACATGTGGGGAAGCGTGTTAGAGGATTTCAAGATATGGCTCACTGGCTCACCCTTTATGCTGCTTCTCGGAACTATCCTCCTCAGCTATGGAGCGTTTTTGGCCAGTAACTTTACAATGCGATCTACATACTTCTGTTCTTCTCTGGCCGACCAGGGGTCACTCATGGTACTCATCCAATTAATTGGTCTTTTCGCGGAAGCAACTATCATCGTCCTCTTATGGAGAGTGCTCTCCTGGGCACGAACAACCAAAAGCCGGCTGCGGACTCTTGGTGGCATTTTGTTGATTGCGTCATTCGCCACATGCGTTCCTTTAATAATTACACAAATTTCACGACGTGGTGAAATCATTGGGCACCCATCCCTTAGAGGTATCAACCCTCTCTACATTTTCGACACTTTGAGCACCGGCATAGTTGTAGCTACTCTGGTCATATCTACATCTCTAATGATATGCGATACATCGCCGCTTGAACCCATTACCATCGCTACCTTTGTATATAGCCTATTTGCCAGTGTTGGTAACGTGCTTCTGGTTGGCACATACCAGCAAACATCCGCGGCGCAACCGCTACTCATTTTGGGGACAACTTCACTCGGGTTTACTATTTTCACATACGCCAACAATATGCGCTCAATTATTTTCATAAGACGCGCGCTACTCTTACTACTGCTACTCAGTATAATAGTTTCTTCGGCCGTTTACGTCTCCCTCACGCAAAAGATGTTCACTCGTCATCCTGTTGATGACCTTGTCTACAAGAACCGGATAGAAGCGGATCGGTGGCTACGGCATGCAACAGTTAGCACAACTATAAAGCTCGCGATGAAGGAGTACGAAGAAAGACACCACGGACGTAAACCTCCGCGGAATTTTGACAAATGGTTCGAGTTCGCCCGGCAGAGGCAGTCAGTCGTTATCGACAAATTCGATCAGATGGAGAAAGACATCTTGCCGTTCTGGGGTCTACGGCCGCAAAATATTCGAGAGGGTCTCGAGTTCCTCAAGGGCCAACCCAATATTGGTATCATTAGCATTGCTAATAGCAAAGCGTCTCACAACAATCCAGCTGACGTTTCACAACAAGAAATACTGGACGGAATCGTTACCCTGATCTCTAGCTTCATAGAGCATCTCCCGGCGATGGAGATTGCAATCAATTTGCAGGAAAGACCGAGGGTTCTGGTTCCTTGGAATGAGATACACCAATTAAGAACGATAGCTAGCCAGCCAGGCTTCCAGCTTATGTCCGGTCGAATAGGTAAACGTGACGATTCGGATCTTTCCACAGAGAAGAATGTCGGAGCCAACAAGCGAATGGGGTCAGCACATCCAGCTCAGCCCTATATTGCAGCTCATCAGTTTCGACAGCTTGAGGCCCTCGCTTGCCCTCCCGGATCGCCGAGTCGCAATGGCGGTCATTGGGACGTAAGAGACTTCTGTGCCTCATGTACATCACCTCACAGCAAGGAGCAGTTCCTTGAAGATTGGCAAATGGCACTCGACCCGTGTCATCAGCCGGATATCTTCCATCTCCACGACTTTCACACCACTCCCCATCAATTCGAACTCTATCAAGATTTATTACCCCTCTTTAGTGGGTCAAAAACGGCTGGTTTCAATGATCTCTTGATTCCCTTTTCGCGGAGCGGGTTGAAACAAGACTATGACGGCAGAACCTTTAATCAAAAGCAAGACATCACGTTCTGGCAAGGTGATGTTAAGGACATCCCAACTGTCACTCACGAGTTTCTTCACGGTAGCCATAGATTGCGTCTGATACACCTCGTCCAGAATGCCACGGCGGCAGACAACGTCCCCATGCTACTAGGAATAGGAACAGGCCAAAATAGTAGGTTTCGATACGAGTACGTGCCCACTACGGAGGGAAATAGTATCTTACCTTGGCAATTCTCATTGGCCGGTCCGCCAGAGGGCTGCAAAGACGCGAACTGTGAGCTTATACGGGACGAGTTCGGATTGGAGCAGTCAATCACCGAGGTGGATGGCCGTTACGTGGTGAGTCCGCTGGAGTCTTCTATGCCCCCGTTTGACATGTCTCGGGAGCACGAGTTGCCTAATTAGGGGGTTTCTATTCCTATTGCTACTGCAAACTCCCAAAGCGATTTCTCTTTTTTACTATAAATGGCAATGACTGACTCCAGATCCTTGAATAGATGTTACTCGATACCAGCGATGGGCCACCACCGAACTTACTACAGGTTTTGCGGTCAAACAGCGTGCCGGTCCTTTCTTCCATATTCCAGCAATGGTTCACAGAGCGGCTGATGCCCTGGGTCCATTTCATCCCTATCGATACACGATACCATGCTTTGCATAGCACGATGTCCTACTTTATCGGCTTGGATGGCCGTGGGACGCTCAACGGACGAAAACAGATTACGCCAGGGCGGACAGAGGACGCGAGATGGATCGCTCAGCAAGGTCGGAAATGGGCCGAGAAGGCCATGAGGAAAGCAGACATGGAAGTGTATTTGTTTAGGTTGTTATTGGAATGGGGACGGGTAATCGATGATAACCGGGACAGTTTGAGCTTTGTGCTGAAAGGATAGCAGCACGCTACCGATGTAAGGCCAATGATGTATTATTCGATTAGATGCGTTCTTTCCAGCTGGAAGAACCCACACGGCTAGGTCTAATACACAAAACGATAGCATGTTTTTACTTATATTTGTTCGTTTTTCGAGATCGCCAGAGCACTGTGGTCATGTATGGAACTAGATTAGCGCTGACCCTCCGCTGCCGCCAGCGCCCCTTTATTTCTTTTCTTTTTAACGAATAGTCTAGAGACCTTGAAAATCCTCGTGATATGCATATCGCATGAACCAGCTTGCTTAATATATATGTAAAGAGGTGTGACGTATGCTGCTGTAATGGTTATGTACTGAGGCAGTGGCCGTCCCCACCAATGCCAGCTAACCTACCAGGCCGCCAGCCGACCTCCCCATCGATCCCGCGGACCGAACAAACCAAACAAGCTTCATTACCTCCTACGCCTCACCTGTGGACTAGCCAATCGCCTACGCGGCACTCGGTGAAATTACGATAACAATTACAGGTATCCTTCGACGAAGATACGCCGATGCAGTGTGATCGTTGCACGGCCGACGAATCATTGCATCACACACAGCCCGTCCACCACACGACCCGAGCAGGCAGCGCACACGTCGTCGGATAGACCGCGCACGCGCAATGGCTGTCATCGACCAGGACAGCTTCTCCAACATCTCGTGGCAGATCGAGACCAGCAACGGCGTCGACGCCGAGCCGAGTGCTGCCATGCCGGCCATCGCCGTCGAGCCGCCGAGCAGCGAGGCCCAGCACCATGGCCAAGCTCTGCAGCGCCAGGACCCCGGCCTGTCCGGCGACATCCTGGAGTGCACTGTCTCGGAGCCGCACAAGGAGAGCGACGGCACCAAGGACGCCTTTGTGTCGTATCTGGTCACTACAACGGTGAGTGCGCGTGGGCCCGGGCTGGGCAGGAGACGTGTCCGCCACCGCTTCCCGCCGATCACTGACCATGGGCCTGCCATCTGTGCAGTCGACCTTCCCCTCCTTCCAGAAACCCACCTTCACCTCCCGCCGACGCTTTACCGACTTCCTGTTTCTCTCCAAGACCCTCTCCAAAGACTACCCGGCATGTGCCGTTCCGCCGCTGCCCGATAAACAGCGCATGGAGTATGTTCGAGGGGATCGGTTTGGTCCCGACTTCACAAGCCGCCGAGCATATTCGCTCCAGCGCTTCCTGTCACGCATAACCCTGCATCCCATCTTGCGGCGCGCCCCCATTCTGCACACCTTCCTCGAGTCTCCCGACTGGAACGCTACGATGCGGTCTCGCGCCGGTAGGACAAGCATAGCTTCCGATCAGGGGAGT